AGGAGGAAATGAACTGAGTTAAAGGGTAATTGCAAAATTGTGAGGTAAATATCAAAGTAAGAAAGTGTAGATAGTCTTGGTTTCTAGGAGCCATCCATGTTTTGATAGGAAAGGTCCAAGGGCTCAGGGATTGCTGCAAGAGCTTATGGAGACATAAGTGCTGAACGTGGGTCAAGTAGACCACTGTGTGAGAGTGTGTGTATGTGCTTGCTATCTCTGTGTGTAGGTGTGCTCACCTATGCACATGCAAATGGAATCAGAAGTCAGGTCAAGCTGGGTGTCTTTCCTCTACTGCTCTCTACCTCACTTTTTTGAGACATGGTCTCTTACTGAAGCAGAAGCTTGCCATTTTGCTAAAATAGATGGCCAGGGGCCCTCTGGGATCCACCTGCCTCCCTTCACTCCCGAGGTTGCAGGTGTGCCAGCACACCCAGCTTTTTGAGTGCTGGATTCAGAATCAGATGAGAGAGCAATACATTTAGGGAATAAAATAGACCATACAACTACTACCCAGAATTCACTACTACGACCAAGAACTTCAAGGAAATGAATAATTGTAGGTCAGATGGAAACCCCTAGTGTTCGATGTAATCAATGAGAAAAAGACGCATTGTAAATAAAATACATGATTGGGACGTTTCAGACTTTCAAGCATAATGGGAAAGAAAGTCTAGGAAGAAAAAGTCAAAGAGGCATAGGAACTGTGGAGGCACCAGCTGTTTCAACACCCCTGGGAGAACAGGAAAAAGACGGTGTTGTTTCCTGAGTACCCCTTCGAAGACAGCACTGAGTCAGTGCCTCAGCAAAATGAGAGTCGAGTCAAAGTGACATATTTGGGTGTTGGAAGACATTACCAATGGGTATTTGGTGGAAATGTTAAAACATAAGGATAGCATTTAAGTTAGATACACGTTCTACAAAGCAAAAAAAAAAAAAAAAAAAAAAAAAAAAAAAAAAAAAAAAAAAAAAAAAAAAAAAGCAAGGCCAGCTATTGGCTCCAGAGGGGGAACATTGAACACGTGTTAACACGCACGCTACTTGACTTGGCAATATCTTCCCTTCACCAGGTCAGGATTATGTAAACCTTAATTACTGTTTATCGATCGTGATGAGGCTAATTTAGGAGCAAGGGCAGGGCAGGTGTGGGGGGATGTGGTGGCAATGGTGTTTGTGGGAAGGTGCTAGATCCTCAAATACTGTGACGAGATGTCAATTGATGATGTCTAGAACCGAAAATCAAGAAGCTGCAGGGGAATAGTATTAGAAAACAGGAAACTCACAGCAGGGTTTGAAGAATGGCTGAAGATCGGTGAGAAGTGGGCAGCCATTGCTTTTACTGGAAGCTTTAAGAAGCTTTAAGATTTTCATATACTCATGTATATTAATTTTATTAGAATTAAACTGTAAACAAAAGCAATACACATGTATCCAGGGAGAAAAACATATAATGTAAGCAAAAAGAACCCAAAAGTTATCCAGAATGTCACCCCATAGGGATAACTTTTCTTAATATCTTCAAATAGTTTCTTCTTAAAACACAGTTGAAAGTACTTTTTTTAAAAGTATTTATTTATTTATTTATTTATTTATTTATTTATTTATTTATTTAGTATACAGTATTCTGTTTGCTTGTATGCCTGCAGGCCAGAAGAGGGCACCAGACCTCATTACGGATGGTTGTGAGTCACCATGTGGTTGCTGGGAATTGAACTCAGGACCTTTGGAAGAGCAGGCAATGCTCTTAACCGCTGAGCCATCTCTCCAGCCCCAGAAATATTCTTGAATGTAATGTTGACATAGTCATATGAATACTAACAACACACTGACAACGGAAAAGAGTCTCATGAAATACAAAACTGACATGGTACACATGGTACGGACGCCCCATAAACAGCACAGCAGCAGTCTAGTGGTACAGCTCTCTTGGAGAGAATTTGGTGTACACACCAACAACTGTAGTACATTCACACCCTGACTCAAGATTCTCATCCAGGGACTGCAAGCTAAAGAAATAACTCAGAAGAAAACTTTGTGTGCAACAGCAAAATATTTACATGTAAAAGCCACACAACTGATCAAGCAAGAGCACAAGTAACCAAATGATAAAGCCANTCCATCTCTCTCACAGTCAGAGGAGAACTGAGGCAGATTTGAGATAGCTTTTCCTGACCTACCTTGTTATTCTAAAAACAGTCATTTCCAGACTCAATTTTACAATCAGCTCTATTTAGAAGTATAAGAATTTTTTTGGGAAACTAATTCATCAGGGAAATTTACATCAATTAAGGGATTTTATATATATGTGTGTGTGTGTGTGTGTGTGTATTCTTTTTAAGAGTAGATGATACTTTTATTTCTCTTAAGCCATTTTTTTTTTTGTTTTGGTTTTTCAAGACAGGGTTTCTCTGTGGTTTTGGAGCCTGTCCTGGAACTAGCTCTTTTAGACCAGGCTGGTCTCGAACTCACAGAGATCCACCTGCCTCTGCCTCCCAAGTGCTGGGATTAAAGGCGTGTGCCACCACTGCCCGGCTCTCTTAAGCCATTTTTATGATCAAAAAGTATAAGAAATCCCAGCACTCGAAAAAAACCAAAAAAAAAAAAAGTATAAGAAGTGCAACTTAGCCTTGAGGCAACACATTAAAAATATAGAAGGACTTCCCATAGTAAACAGATGTTTTTATTGTTTATATTGAGCTATATATTTTTCTCGGCTCCCCTACTTTCCTCCCCTCCCACCTTCTACCCTCTCCCATGACCCCCATGCTCCCAATTTACTCAGAAGATCTTGTCTTTTTCACCTTCCTATGTAGATCCATGTTTGTCCTCTTTGTTAAACACAGAACATTGAAGTTTCATTAAGAGTAACTAGGATTTAAGGGAGACTAAAGGAAATGAATTGTTTAAAGAAGTTAAATTGCATAAAAATTTCAGAAAATATAGAGTTGATATTCTCTCCTAAAGTCACTGTTTTTTAAATTAATTTAAAAGTTTTAACATTCAAGCTGGGAGTGTATTACAGTGGATCTTGTATGAATTAGATGCTAGCCTGGGCTACCTGAGACTCTTGTCTCAGGGGGGGAGAGGGAGAAAAATAAGCTTTGAGATCCAACTAGTATTTTCTGAACTGTTTTCAGATCTGTCTTTGTCCTTAATATAGTCACCGAGTCTGTGTAATATAGTCTGTGTAATCTCAATGCATTCTTGCAGTTTGGTGATGCATTTATAGAGGCCTAATATGAAGGAATAGTAGGGCAACAAGTATAGTGTATTCCTGTGTGTTTGCTTGGCTTGCGTGGTTATTACTGTCGGAGTCAAAGAATTACAGATGTCAAAGGTAATGATGGTGCATTTATCAGGGCAGAACAGAGCAACTGACAACCGGCAATGATAAGCCAGGAGAGGGCCTGTGGATGACGGAGCCCTGAGATAGCACTGTGAAATTTGTCCTATCTGGACCGACCCTACAGATAGCTGCCTGTGACCATCATGAGCCCACGGAGTTATGATACAGCTACGGGAACACACGAAGCAGCTATGGAGCAAAGCAAAACAGTCCAGGGCCACGCAGGCTGTGAAGTATCTGTGACGAAACAGGTGTGGGCACAGCACGGCTGCCCTGGAATGCTCTGAGAGCCTTGGGCAGAACGTGGCGACTATCTTACGTGGTCTTTTCCTGGTTGCGTTTCTGACCCTGTAGCCGAGAGAGAGAGAGAGAGAGAGAGAGAGAGAGAGAGAGAGAGAGAGAGAGAGAGAGGAGAGAGAGAGAGAAAGAGAGGAGAGAGAGAGAGAGAGGTTTCCCTCTGTGGTTCTGCCAAGACCGGGGGCTTTCAGAAATGACTGAATTTCTGTTCCATTTATATAGATGAAGAAATTGAGCTTTGGTGAGGCCAATTAGCTGTAAACAGCCCCACGACAAAAATTCCAGGATGTAATAAATAGGATTTCAGTTCTATTACTTTCCTGTTGCATCTAAATACAGATGTGGTGTGATAGTATTGTGCATGTTCTGTCGCAGTGTGGGTACATATTAGGTCAAATACGTAAGCTTTATTGGTAGGTCTTCCTCACAAACTGCCCTATGTCATTAGTGGTGGAATTTCCAAATGATTCTATTTATTTAGAATTTACTTCTTTCCAAAAAATTGGACTTGTGACTTTTTTTTTTTTGCAAATTATGCAGCTTATATGTACTTCGGTGGTTTTTTTTTTTTCTAGGCAGTTCTGTCTGGTTGATACAGCAGGTCAGAAAGCTCAGATTATGAACTTGGCAACTTGGGATACTCAGCCTGTATAAAAATGTCCAGTTTTACTTAAACACCCTGACTGCAGAGGGGTCCCGGATGTAAGTGGATTGCTATTGTATCCGTTTTTGTTACAAGGAAATCAAATCCAGGGCCTTGGGCATGCTAGGCAGGCACTACACTCTTTAGACTGCTTGCGGTCCTTCAAGGGTGTTCTCCAGGGGTTTGGGAAGAGGCTGCTCAGAGACAACACGCCTCTTGCAGACACAAGCCTCCTACCCGCTTTGGCACGCACCTGCAGCCTCAAACCAGAACGGGGCGGGGCTCGACTTTGGCCGTGTCAGACGTGGCAGAAAAAAAAAAAAAAATCAGCAATTGCCCTTTCATCCCCTTCCCGATAAGCAAACCATGCCGATCACTTGCCCAGTATTTGGGTATATAAAGCAGAATACATCATTGGAAAAGGTTTTTGGTTACGTGGCGAGCCGGGGCGCTGACCGCCGCGGGGGCGGACTCACATACTTCTCCCCACTTGTGAGGTCTGTGACTTGCTAGGAAAGCCCGCGAACCGCACACTCACAGCACCCGGGCCGAGGGTGAGCTCTCGGGATCCCATCGCAGCCCCACCGCCGCAACTCTCGGCTCCGAGCCCCCGGCGCATTTAAGTTCCAGCGCGGGGAGGTGGGCCCCACGCGCGGCCTCCGGGCCCCGCCCACTCTGGCCTGGGGTCGGAGCCGAGGCGAGCGCCAGCCGAGTCCGAGCGGCCGCGGCCCCTTTAAGGAGCCGCTCTGCGGTAACCCGAGCCCGCAGTCCGGGCGGGCGCGGCGGCAGCGGCGGCGCGAGCCTCGGCGACTGCTCCTCCAGGCGTCCCCGGCTCCCGCGAGCATCTCGCGCGTGGCTCCGGCCGGCGCAGTCCTCCGGCCCGGCCGGATGACCAGGCGCCTGTAAACCCGGCTGCCCTCTCCCGGCTCCGCGCAGCCGCCGCCCGCGCGACTCATCCCGGGACCCGGCACAGGTGACGCCGTTTGGACGGGGTCCGGGAGGAGGGCGGCCTCGCCCAGCGCTGCTTTCGGGCACGGCGCCGCGTCGCACCGGCCTAGCGCGGCCGAGCTCGGGCGCCCGAGGCGGGTGGGAGCGCGCGGGAGGCTTTGGCAGGTGTGCGGCGGCGCAGCATCCTTCCTGTCACCGGCCCCGCGCCGCTTGGCTTGGAGCAGATGGTGTCCCCGGCCCGCGGCGCCACCCCGAGATCCACTCGGCTCTGCCGGGCTGCTCGGTCCGGTCCTGGCTTTTCTACTTGGTTAGCGGCGCCTAAGGGGTCTGAGCCCAAAACGGGTGGGTGCAACCTCTGGGCCTGCAGGGGACGCTTTCTTGCAAGAGATCAGCTCACAATCGGACGCATCAAGTGGCATCCCCCATTCTCCCCAGCCTCTTTCTAAAACACGTAGCTTTTATTTACCCCCGCAGCTCTTAAGGGGGGGGTCCCCATTTTTAGCCACCCTGAGTGCTGAAGTCTACTGGGGGGGCGGGGGGGGGAATTGGTTTCTCTTTCCAGCCATATAACCCCTGGCAAGTTGATTAAACTAAGTGCCTTCGTTTACCCTGTTAGGAAATGAAGTCTAATGCCAGTATTTATTTTCCCACCTTTCCAAGGTGTTAGGGAAGCCTGTGTGAAAGTAGTTTTGAGTTCTTTAAGTTCACTTAAGGGTCACTTGCTGGCCTGTGGATTTTTGTTTGTTTGTTTTCAATTGTATTTGCGAGTCAATGGGAGTGGGCATGTAAAATTACAAAATATTAAAAAGTGATCTTTGATGTTTAAATTAATTTTTAAGCATCAGTTTGGAGGCAGTGTGGACGAATTGGGTGGATGGTGGGAATCAATGTGTAAAGTAGACACAAGTCTGTCATTTTATTTAGGAAAACCTTTACATGGTCAAGAAGTTGAAAAAAGAAAGGATCCTGGATGGGGGTGTTTTGAGGTGAAATGCCTCTGTAGGAACACGTGGTGCCGGATGGAGCACTGCCTTACCTTTGTCAGTAGCTCCTAAGTCAATAAATTTAGGAGTACCACTTCCCTATTTTAAGTGATCTATCAGATTCAAGATCTTTTCTCTTTTATTCTCCTTAAATTGTGTGGATAAAACTAAATTTGAAATGCATGCCTACAATGCCAAACTTGAAAGGCTAGCTTGCCCGAGTTTCCCCTCTCCTATGCCCAGAGAATTTATTTTGAAGGAGCTTCTTATCCTTCTTCTGAATCCCTCTGTCCAGTGTTTGCCTCTTTACTGTGTCATCTTGCCTGCATTTTATCTGTCTGGGCTGGATGCCTTTGACCCAGTTGCTTAGTCATTATTATTAGCTTTGTGTTTCTGTTCCTTCCAAGTAAAAGCCTTCATCACTTGGGGAAAAGAATTATGGGTCTCACCACTAAAGTCCTGAAATCACTTGGAAGGGACGAGGGCTGATGGTTGTCAGAGAGTTGAAACCATCGGTCACCAGAGAAGATGGTCCTTTGCTATGGGTTTTCTGACTAGACCCACAGAGTAAAGAAGCCAGAGTTTCCCTGTCCTGGGTCTTCTTCTGAAATCTCCACTGGCTTACCAACAGAGGCCCTGGGAGCCCTGAGTTCTCAGAGGTCCCAGTGAGTGCTCAGCTAGGTAAGAGCACTCCCTGCCAAGGAGTGGGTAGGAGGAAGTAGTCTGTTGGCAGGGATGGCCACCTTCCTGGACTAATATAACTAATGGGGCAAAAGAGTCTGGATTTCTGAAGGGACGTGGGAGGCTCCGGGGTGCGAAGAGGGAGTGGAGTAGGCTTGAGGTTGCACTGTCATTCTTTGAGGATTTATTGTCCCTCACCATCAAGGGCTGCTGCTTTATAGCCATCAGACCTGTCCACTCCCCTCCCTTGGTGCTCCAAAAGAGACCTGGCGTGTCTGCATGCTTCTCAAAGCCCGACATTTATTAGAGGACACCACACAGTTTAGTTCATAAACACTTCTTCAGACCTCAAATCTCCTTTCACCTGCTTCCAAGTTAATATTCTCTGTCTCACAGACTAAAGAGTCATTTGAGCTTTAGTATGGTGTGGGAGGTTAAGAAGCCTGGGCTTCTCCGCTGAGATACGGAAAACTGCCGTTCTCTTGAGGACAGTAGTGGCCTAATTAGAGTAGTGGGCATATGTACAAGGGCGGGAAACCTGGAGGGTAAAGTCAGGAGAGTTAAGTTGGATAGCTTGTGCCATCGTCCTTAAGCAAGGAAGGTGTCCCACCAAGTGCAGTTTCCTGGTGCTATCCCTACTTCCGCTTGCCCCGTGAGGGGAAAGAGAGAGCAGTGTGGAGGCGGAGTAACCGTGTGTTTGTCCTTGGGATGGCAAACAGACTTGAACTGGGTGGTGGGGACAGCTATATTCACCTGACACTCTCCACGGTACTATTTGTGTGAACACATCACGTCAGGAAAGCTAGGTGATTTTTTTAAGGAAGCCTGGGGGTACTTTGGCCGTGTTTCTCTTTAAAGGGTGAAAGAAAGGTGGAGAAACGGAGCCCTGCTGCTCTGAGGCCTGCTGCTCCTTGGAAGGCCTTGGACATGCAGCCAGCGGATCCCTGACCGGAGAAGCTAGGATAAAGCAGAAATAGAAAGGGAATTCTTTGTTCAGATAACACGGGTGTATTGAGGGAGAGGTGCACGGGATACGGCAGCAGCGCTTGAGATACTTGGGTCATGTTATGAGAATGAATGACAGCAGATACCCAAAGATAGCCCTGCTTGGAGGAGTGCACGGGAGAAGGTAAAGAGCAAGGCCCAAAAAGCGCTGGATAGACAGCGTAAAGGAAGATGTGGGACCTTGGAATCTTGGGTAAAACAATAACACAGGCATTTGGACTGCCCAGGATAGGAACAACTAAAGAACCACCGTAAACGGGCTGCCCATGCATGCTGTAGCCTTGCCGGGGCATAAATGATGAAATGATGGTGAATCCTATGGATACATAAGGAGTTTGTAAAGCAGTGTGTGAGGCTAGTGTTCTTGAAGATAGTCCCGGGAGAAGATAGCTGCACATCTGATCAGAGCTTGAGTCACGTGGGAGAAAGAAGCTGTTAAACAATGGGACCAATGTCCCAGGCTTGTTTGAAGCCACGTTCCAAACTTTTGGGGCTAGGACGTCAGAAAGTGCAGTTTTACTTTGAGACCCAGAACATGACTAAGCAGATGAGTATCTGAAACAAGTTTCTCGTCTTATTCTGTTTCTAGTCTGCATTTCAGGGAACCCCTCACCTCCAGTCCTCTATTTGTTTAAACAGTGGAAAATCGGGTTTAATGAGGGTCAGCGGGGGGGGGGGGGGGGGGGGGGGGGGGGGGGGGGGGGGGGGGGGGGGGGGGGGTTGGAGGTGGAGATGTTGGAGGAGCTGTCTGGATCTGTCAGTGGGGACAGAAGGGAGTGTGGGAACTCATCCGGTCTGTGAGGGGTACGAGACTCATATAGATAAAAAGGCAGCTGGATGGGCAGGTGCAGACAGGGACTTTCTGCTTGTTCCCTTTCACCACAAAGCCAAGCCATTGCTTTTGAAGGGCTAGGAGGAAGATGTGTGGAAAGGAAGTTGCATTTGGATTTCAAAGCAGATTTCTCTGGGCCAGTAGCTTTCTCTCTGTAGGGTAAGTGGGGGAACCAATGCCGAGAACAAGTAGCTGATGGATTTAGGTCAGGTCCCACTTCTGTGGACTGCCTAGCGGAGCACAGGGGCTTGGATGAGGGATGGATGAGTAGGAGGCTCCTACTTCGTGGCTTTGGGGAGTTCTGAGCAGAGCTCAGGGAGTGTGTTGTGTTGTTTCTAAGCCTCACTTGCCCACTGAACTCAGTGAGAAGTTGGCTGCTGGCCTCACCAAGAATTGGAACAGTATTCTCATTCTTCATTCTTTTTTATTACCCAGCCAGGCGACCAAGACTTTCTCAGAGGTCTAGTTCATGATCCATGGTCAAATTCAGGTTTCTGCCCTACCCAGTGTCAGGCAGCTAGTTCTGCTGTGTGCCCTGGAGTTGGCTAAGAGCTGAAACTGTTCTTCAGGTTCTTGATTTCCCTTTTCCTAACAGTTAACATCTGACTCCCAACACCTAACCCCTGAACACTTCTACCAGGTGGTAAAACAAAACCTACCGAAACGAAGTACACCGGCATCAGCATCCACCCTAGCCTGTTGCTTGGTGACCGTTTGCTTTTGTCATTGACTTTCGACCTAGTGGGGATCTCCCTTTGGGACCATCTGGATTCCTTATGTGCCTTTCTTACCGCAGGTGATGTTTTTAGGTGTTTGACTTCACCCTTTTTTATCTGCCTGGCATTTGTTCAAGGCTTTCAATTCTGGTTTCACTACTATTATCTCTCACATCCCCCAGCTTTGGGTATCTGTCCAGCAACTCTTGTGAGCCCAATTTTGGATCCTGTATTCTAGAAACAACTGTACGCTAATGAGGTGTTTATCTTGGTTCTCATTTAACTTTCAGTTTGGGGGGGATAAGGAGAAACTATTTGGTCAAGTTCATTTTACTTCATTTTCTTCATTGAATCCATAGAGAGATGTATTTGGGGGCTGGGAAGGAACACAGAAGGGGGAGACAGCCCTGTAAGCCTCTCCATGTAGCCCCCAGCCCTACAAAGGAAAAGAAAAGGAAAGCGCATTTGACTGTATTGAGAATGCCTTCCATCTTGGTATCAGTTTACTTATTGGAATGGCAGCAAAAAGGAATTTTAATTGATGAATTTTCAATTTTTTTTTTTCGAGACAGGGTTTCTCTGTAGCTTTGGTGCCTGTCCTGGAACTAGCTCTTGTAGACCAGGCTGGCCTCGAACTCCCAGAGATCCGCCTGCCTCTGTCTCCCGAGTGCTGGGATTAAAGGCGTGCGCCACCACTGCTCGGCAAATTTTTAATTTTTTAAATGAAATCTAAAAGCCCCCTAGACAGTGTTGCATTTTAGGGACACAGTTTTTAAAACTAGTCTTGCTTGATTAACATGCTTGTTCTAAGACATGTAAAAATATCGGGACCCATGAATTTAATCAAATTTTGTAATCTGTTAATGTTTTCTAAAAATTTTCTTTGGGAGGTGGTGGCACACGCGCATTGGTGTGAGGGTACCAGATCCTCTAGAACTGGAGTTACAGTTGTGAGCTACCATATGGGTGCTGGGAATTGAACCCAGGTCCTCTGGAAGAACAGCCAGTGCTCTTAACTGGTAGTCATCTCTCCAGCCCCCTGTTAATGCTTTTTAAAAGACTCATAAAAATTACAGCTTTGGCCGGGCAGTGGTGGTGCACGCCTTTAATCCCAGCACTTGGGAGGCAGAGGCAGGCGGATCTCTGTGAGTTCGAGACCAGCCTGGTCTACAAGAGCTAGTTCCAGGACAGGCTCCAAAACCACAGAGAAACCCTGTCTCGAAAAACAAAACAAAACAAAACAAAATTACAGCTTTGCTCAGAGTAAGCAATATCCTTTGTCTTTTTTTTATTTGTTGTGTATGTATGTGTAGGTGTGTGTGTGTGTGTGTGTGTGAGCCAGGATTCCACATTCATGTCTTTCCCAGTTACTCTCTACCTTGTTTATTTGTATAATAAACTCTGTAGCCCTGGCTGTCCTGAAACTCACTATGCAGATCAGGATAGCCTCAAATTCTTAGAGATCCACCTTACCTCTGCAGACTGTGATTAAAGATATGGCCTTTAATCATGTGCCCCCGCCCCCCTGCTCTTTCCACCTTGGTTTTAAAGACAACATTACCCTAAAAAATTGGAGCTCAGTGTTGGCCAGACTAGCTGGCCAGAAAGTCCCTGGATCCTCCTGTCTCTGCAGGTGGGAGCCACCACACAGTGGGAGGCTGGAGATCCTAACTCACTCTGGTCCTCAGGACTGCACAGCAAGCCCTTTACCAGCTGAGCTGAATCTCCAGGTTTACTCTTCATGTTCTTGAAAGCCCGTGTGTTACCAGAAAGATTTCTTCCGTGTTTTGTAGAAAAATGAAGTGCTGTAGGGCAAGATAAAGGTTGGGCTGGGAGGCCAGGTAGGAAGGCTGATCCCTGAAGCAAAGGCAACTCCTAGATTCACATCTTAGAAACAAACCCTGAGACACTGTGGATTTGGAGGGCTTGATCATGGCCTCTATGGCCTACAATAGCCCCTGTTTTCCCAACCATTTGTGGCAGATTCTTGTTAGGTGTGTGCTATGTGAGACCCTGTCGTAAATAAATAGATTGACTGATAAGCACACAGGGATGTAGCTCAGCAGTCTAAGCTTCCCTAGCATACGCCTGAGCCCTAGGTTCAGTCACAGCGTTGGAACTGGAAGGAGAAGGGACTTAGGACAACTTGAATACACACACACACACACACACACACACACACACATACATACAAGCACATGTACACACACACACACACATACTATAGCAACATAAATTGAATTTAGGGGGAAAACAAAACATAAAAGCGCTGAAGTGTGAGGAAGGCCCCCTTGTATTCTTTGAAGTCCTCTTCTCTTCTTGCTGCAAGCTCTGGTTTATAATACTTTAGTAGCCAAAGAGAATTGATCTGTAACTCAGTTCAGGATACTGGGCAGGGAGACCAGAGAACTCTGTCTGTTCTTGGTTCTGAGGCCGGCTAGTCTAGCTAATCACTGAGCTCGAGTTTGGGCAGTGCTGTCTTTGAAAACAAGGTGGGGAGTGGTTTAGGAAGACTCTGATATGGATGTGGACTCCTGGCTTCCGTACACACGTTCACACATATGTGATAACCGCCTCCCCCTGTACCTACACAAGATGCATTTTTCTTCCGAGTTTTTAATCAAGGCAACACCACCACACCTGCAGGGGCTCTGTTCAAACCAACCGTTTGTGCTTCACACAGTAAAACCGTGTGGCTTGGCTTTCTGAGGCCATTTCAGATCAAGTTTTTCGGTGCTAGCCAGGGCGCTCCGTAAAAGGTCAGTAGGGTGAGGTGTAAGGTCTTGGGCTTAACCCAGAAATAGCTTTAACAGGACCTAAAGGAACACATGACCAAAATAAACAGCAACGTGATAGTCTTCCTGGACAGTTTCTTCACAAGGCTGTACAGCTGTGTGATTTGAATGTATTAGTCTGACCCTAGCTCATAAAGCTGGGGAAGTGACTCTTCAGAAGGGAGGGGGGTCTGAGCTTCTGGAACTGCAGCCACCAAATACTGGTCTCAGTAACAGCTTCCTAGCACAGATCTCTGTAGCCCAGGCAGTGCCCATCTGTGGGCCTCCTCTTCAGCCTCTCAGGTAGCTGGAATTACAGGCCTGCATCATTCAGCGAAGCTTTTGGGACAGTCCTTCACATGGCAGTGGCAGCTGTGGGCCACTGCTAACTTCCTTTTGCTTGATTCCCTGTGTTTCAGGAATTCAAACGTGAGATTTGTAGTTAAACAAAAACAAACAAACAAACAAAACCACGTCTCTATAAATTCAAGATCAGCCTTGTCTACGTACTGAGTTTCAGGACAGCCAGTTCTCAGCAGGAAAGAACAAAACAAGAACTAAAACCACGTCACTTCGCTTGACGACCGGTCTGGTTCCACACTGGAGGCTGAATCAGGTTGGTAAATACCAACTTTGTTGGCTAATAGTGCAGCTAGAGCTGGTATTGGGTGAAGGCAGTCTCAGAGGAAGAGATGAGAAAAATCTGTGCTCAGGACGTTGGGCAGTGTTAAGGGGCCCTTAGGTAGCAGAATGAAAGGCTACCTAAGATGGGTATGATCCGATCCTTGGCTGTCTTGTTTCATGTTTTAGGAATTTTATTTTTTCTCAGATGGTCCTGTTTCTAGGACCCAGGGGGATGGAGCAGAGGAAAAGAGTATATAGATACAGGGAGGTGAATGTGAGCCAAGTCCCATGTATGCCTATATGGAGGTGTCGAAACGAAGCCCACGGTGCGGCATGCTAATTAAAATGGGGTCACCATTTATTTATATGTTTATAAATTGTAGATTCCGTACTCGATAAAATATATAATATTTGTAATATTTGTCACTCTCCCCACTTACCCTCCTCTTTTGTTTCCCTCTCTCGAAATGACTTCTTTTCCTCCCAAGTAGTCTTCCCCCTCCCCTGTAATGTCACGTCACATACATTAAAACAAAACAAACAAACAAAAGCAAACTAGATTCCACACCGGAGAGAAAGCGCCCAAGGTGGGTTTGTAGCCCCACCCATTTCCTGCAAATGGAAGTTTTGTTCTTTTTGTGGCTTCCTAGAACACTGCCTTCCGTTCTTCATGTGCCTTTAATGGACACCACCTCAGTTGATTCCGTGCGGGCTGTTGTGACTGCTGCTGCAGTCACCCGGACAGGCAGGTTATCTCTCCAGCCCGCTGATTTCCTTAGGGCGTGTCCCCAGGAGTGCTGTGGCTGGATCAGGTGGTAGTTCTATTTTGATTCTTTTAGTGTCCTTGCTGATTGACACCCCGCCCCCAGCAGTGAGTTCCTTACTCCCACGTCACCCCTACCCTCACTACCCTTTGGTGTTTGTTTACTTGATAGCTTAATGACTGGGCTGAGCAGGTACTCTCCAGAGAGTTTTGATTTGCATTTCCTTGGTGACCAACCGCCGCTGTCTCCTAAGTCTCCTGTGTATTTACTGGCCGTCTGTACTTCTTTGAGAATTGTCCTATTCACTCGCACATTTATAGATTAGATTTCTTGGTGTTTGATTTTTTTTTTTTTGAGTTCTTTATATATTTTATTGAATCCCCTGTTAGAATATAGCTAGCAGAGATGTTCTTCCATTCTACGGGATGTCTCTTTTTGCTATTGTTTTCTTTGCTGAGAAGTCTCCTTATCTAAGCTATCAAATTCAGATCGGGTGTCTGGTAGACAAGTTTCAGGGCTTTTAGGCCAAGGAGAAAAAGAAGGACTTGGGTACTGAAGGATTTAGATACGGAATGAATGATTTGGGTCTGCCAGAGAAGTAGGTGTGACATTTGCTAAGGAAAGGATTTCTAGCATAAAGCACTGTTGTATATATTTTGTTTTTTTTTAAGACGAGGTCTCGCTCTGTGTCCTTGATTGGCCTGGAACAATTGTGTAGACCAGGCTGGCCTCTGCATGCTGGGATTAAAGACGCGTGATACTGTGCTCAGCCAAGTTCTATTTTATTTTGTTTTGAAAGAGGCTCTCTGATAGCCACTTGTTGGCCTTGGACTGTTGTGGACAAGGATGACCTTGCATTCCTGACCCTCCTGCCTCCACCTTCCAATCTCCCTTGGTTTACTGGCATCTGCCACCACACTGGGATCACCATTCTTGCTTGAGAATCTTAAAACAATGTTTTCTTATTTCTTGAGAAATGGGGGTGGGGGTGGCTAGGCAGTTCCTCTGCGGGGTACAGACTCAGGAAGTGTGTGCATTAATTTCAGGGTCACGAGGCTGGAAGATTCCAGAAGGCCTGCTCCTGTGGTTAGTCATTAGTTTTAAGGGTTGGCTGCCAACTGCAATTGTCAGCCTCAGTTTCCTCCTCAGGGCCTCATGGCCAGCACAACAGTCTGCGCACACAGGGCAGATGGTTGCTGTGAGAGCTGCTTCTGCTCTCTGACCACCGCGTTCTCCCTTCTGCTGCAGCCCCCGTGGGTGAAGGGAGAGGCAGGCTCTGTCTTTGGTTGAGAGTGGTGGTGTCACGTTACAAAGTGATGGATAGCCATTAAATGGTTTACCACACATAGCTGTCTGTATTGTGTACTCTAATAGGTACAGTTAAGGCATTACCGCGCTTAAACTATACAATCGCCTACAGTGTAGGCATTCTTATGCCTGTTGTGTAGAATTTGTAGCTGAAGAGGATGCCTTCTTCCTTTTAGAGACAGGGTTTCTCTAATAGGTAGTTCTGACTGTCCTGGAACTCACAGAGATCCACCTGGGATTAAAGGTGTGCACCACCATGCCTGGCCTGGCTACCTTGCTTTTAACCAAAGTCACTAATGAGAACTGGGATTGACATCCCTGAAAACACACACAACCCTGTGCACACAATAGAATGTGATACACGCGTTTAAAGGAAGAACTGGGGCTGGGATTTGATTCTACTTCTCCAGCTAAATGCAATAAGTCTTCTCAGTCCATTGAGTGGCTCTTCAGCTTCTCTGACCGCACTGAATACTTTCCTGCGGGGACAGAAGGGAAAAAGAAAGCGGAAGGTAGGAAGCTGAGTCTTGCCTCAGCCACCCCTGCAAGCCAAGGATTTCCCTGTGGCCAGTGGACTGTTGATTTGGAGGTGAGAAGAACCTGACTTCCCGGGAAGTCTGGCAGGTGTCCCAGTTCTGCACCCCCCACTCCAGCTTAAAAATAGAACTGTTGCGGGGGTGTGTGTGTGTGTGTGTGTGTGTGTAGTGTGCGTTGTCCAGTCTTCCCTTGATTTCACAGTGTTGGCAGAGTGCCAGAAGATGTTCTAAGCCAAGCTGCTCCTGCTGGGATCTCTCTCCAGGAAGGGATGGGCACTGATTGAAAATAAGCATACCAGAAGCTGGGGAGAAAAAGATGAGGAGCCTTCCAGTTGACGCTCTGCCACTCGGTCCCTCAGTGTCAGGACCCTGACAGTGCAGACTCCTAAGACTCGGGTCTAGCACGGAATTGGAAATGTTAATTTTATTAATGACAAACTCTCAAATGGGACCAGCTTCAAAAAACCCATCCTTTTGATTTGCGCCAGCTACTGCAGCAGTTTGTGGTGCGACTTCCCAACTACTGTGGCCTCCTGGCTCCAGACATTTTGGTTTCTCCTAAATTCAGTGCCTGTAATCGGGAACTCAGAAGTTTAAAGAACAAAAGCTTCTTTATAAAAAGTTGTACGTGGAGTGAGATGAGAGGAGGCAACATTTATCACGTAAATCACATGTATGCTGCCTGTTGGCCCTAGAAACTCAGCTGATTTCCTATGAGCAGGTCGAGCTCAGTGACAGTTGGGAGTGGGAAGCAGTGGGGTGGAGGAGAACGGGGAAAGGGTCTTTGTCTGTGGATTGCGTTGGGTGGGCTACTCAGTCTAGGGGTTAGTAACCCACCCGCAATCAGTAATTCCAGGGTCTCGGAGGGGCGCTACCTGGAAGGGAATGAGCTAAGACAGAAGAAGGAGGCCAAGCAGTTTTGTCAAAGCCTCCGTTTATTAGGGATGGGTTACAGTTTATATATGGTAAGGAATGGGGGGCAGGGTAACTGGATTCTTGCCGCGTGTTCCAGGTCACGTAGGCCAGGAGGTAGGCTAGGAAGTCAAGTGGCCACACCTGGTTCCCTGGATAGCTGGAATGTGAGGCGGGTTCCTCTAAGAGATTGCTGCTAATTGGGTGAGGGGCCTTCTGCAGACTCCCCAGGGTGATGGTTCCTGTAATGATTGTTAGTGGGGAAATGGCTCCTGACATTTGTCTGTGGGGGCCTCCGGCAGCCTCATTGCTTATTAGGCGTTGTTGGAAAAAAAAAAATGAAAGTCCGGGGATAAATGCCAACCACAAAGATTAAAAAGCGGGAGAGAGTGAGATAAAGAAAGAAAAAGATAAAGGTTGATGTACAATACATGAACTATACTAGATTTCATTTATTTTTAAGATAAAAGCTAAAACATGAATCATGGAAAGGCTAGGAGGATGGGAAGTTCAAGGCCAATCTGGGCAACTTAGAGAGCCCGGAGCTCAGTGACAGTGCTGGCCTAGCATGCTAAGAAGGCTCTAGTTCAGTCCTGAGTGCTGAAAACAAGCAAAGCAAAACAGAACAAAACAGCAAACACCCCATCTACAACAACACAATACCCCAAACTGAAGCAGTTGAGGAAGCTATGAATACAGGTGGTTAAAATCCAATTAATAACCCTGTAATGAAAAGGAAACCTCGTCAGAGGGCGCAGGGATTCTCAGGGAGAAACTAAGGAGATGGGGATTCCACACTTGCTGTGCCATGCCTCTTTGGCGTGGACTAAGGGGCTCCATGAGAAGAATCTTTATCAGAAACCCCTTTCCTTCAGAAATAAACTACAGCAAGGAAGACCTCAAGATGGGTGTCGTGGCTCATCCCTGAAATCTTAGCACTTGGGAAGCAGAGGCAGGAGGATTTCAGGGAAGTCAGACTTTGCCTCGGGTCGCTCCTGAGCTGCAGAGTCACTGCAGGTCTCTCCCCACAAAAGAGTGAAAAAGAACGAACAGCAGTGGCCAGGGGAGCTCTGCACTGAACAGAGAGCAAGAAAGATCTTAGAGGCCTTAAAAACTGTAGCGGAGAGACAAGATTATATGTCAGATAAGGCGAAATCTTTGGTTAAAGAGATTTTCAGTAGAGATAGGAGTTGTCAGAGTTCTTTGCCCTGCGGTGCAAGGGTGCGGCCACCACTGCTGTGCTGTTTCTCTCTCTGGGTGATCCGTGCAGAGCCTCAATTAGGGAATATATTTGCTTCCTTCCTGTCCTGGCCTCCTGTGCTTGTAATTATTACATAGAATTGTGAGGTAAAGAAAAGCCAGGTTAGAAATGTACAAATATATATCATACATGTATATGATGAGTGTGTATACATATATGACATCATATATATGTGAGATATGTTATGCTTTGTTATCATCAAAACAAACGT